CTCTTGTGTGATGACATCTTTTGATTCGGAGAATAGCTTAACATTTTATTGTAACGTAACTAAATTGATCTTCTTCATAATAGTCTATGTGCAACTTGTTACCACCCACACTGTGACAAGCTACACCAGGGTACCAAAAACTGCTGCAGTTGGCAGTGGGCATTCCTTTCTGTGACTCACTGGATCTGTGATCTACATACCAGTGCTGGTCTAAACTGGGTCTTCCACTTTTAAAAGCACTATCTCTCCCCCCAGCCACTGTATCCCAGGGAAACCAGTCTCAAAACACTAAACAAACACACACCCGACTAATTGAGCTTCTCTGAGAATAAAATGGAGGAAGATAGTAAACTATTATATTACACTTTATATTAAGGTTTGAGATGCAGTCATTTCAGTACATTAGTATCAATAATCTTCCTCTTTCCGCTCCAAACAGGCCTGTCAGTAAAGTGCAGTCAGCCAATTTACTGGAGACTGAAGACAGATATCCAGGATTGTTTATCCCTCTCGTTTTGGTTTGTACAGTGACCCTGTAAAAGTATTTGGTTACTTAAAAACGTATGAATTCAGTGGTATTTGCAAACAAATAACGCTAGACATTTTCTCGTAAACAGCTTAAATTTCCTAGCTATTTTGCAATTATTTACAGTATCAATATGATTGTTGGCTGATTTTAGAGGATGTATGAATTCATCACAAATGAATTCTTCGCTCAAATTCACAAAGATGTCATAGTAGAGTGTAGTTCAACAAATTATGTTCCAATTTTGACAAAAAGAAAATGTCCAGACAATTGTCAACTAATTTATAATTTCAAACCTAAGAAGTCCTTTTTTTTTCTGAAATGTGTACTTTTAAGTGTGCTTTGTTTCTTTAAAATAAATGCAAATTGGCTTGATTTATTGCATTTAAAGCATTCATGCATTTGTATCAGTGTGGCTTTAGTGTCTGAATACTTTTTGGGGCCACTGTATTTTGCTGTGACGGAAAAATAAATGTTTCGGTCATTAGATCTTTGCATTTTCTGTGAACTTAACCGTTTTTTCCCCCACTGTCTCTTCATCAGATTCTAACTCTGTCATTAACGCTATTTTAACCCTGTGTGTCTGTCTGTGCATGTCTCTGGTTATATTTCAAGCAGTCAGAGGAAGAAGTGGTAAGAGCAGACAGCCTTCTCGACTCTGTGTAGATGTTTATCATTTTTTACATTTGTTTGTGTGTGTGTGTATGTCTCTGTGTGTTTGTGTGTGCGTGCGTTTGTGTGTATGTTCGCCATCACCCGTATAATCCTCTTGTTCTGCGGCTTGTGTGTATCCCTGCAGGTTTCAGTGTTGGTAGTCTCCTGCTTTTGGTGTTCGGTTCTTTTCCAGCACAACTAGATAGATTATTTTCTAGACATCAATTTTCCTTAGTTTTAGCCGCCATCATTACATGGGAACGATCTGGTGAGCCGTGCTGGAGCGTGATTCTGACTTAAATCACACCAAATTATGCTGATGATCTGAAAGGCCCTGCGCTGTGATTCTGTTCTTATGTCCGTGAGATCCAGGGCTGTGATTGAGCCGGGAGTGGGATTAGATTCATGTGTTTTCTTTATTTTTCTTCTTTTTAAAAAAAATTCTTTTTCCTGTTGAAAAACAAAAACAGATACAGTTGTTGTTCAGAACAAACTTGTCCACTTGTCCCATTCATTAAATTGTTTTAAAGGGACTTCGGCTGGTAAGGATTGAAAGAGGTACAAGAGTCAGGGGAGCATGTTCATTTTTACTGTATCTATACTGTTCTGTATCTCTAAGGGCAGTTGGGACCACCTATCTATATCTGATTTAATGTTCTTATTACTTATGGACCATGATTGCTATCAGACAATTTAGAAATATCCTTTGTTATTTTAATCCCCAGGTACTTAATACTTGATGCATTCCAACTCAATTTTAATCTACTCAGCATGTCATTCTGAGGGGTGTAGATATAACTTAAAGATTTGTGTTTTCTGAACATTTAATTTATATCCCAAATTTTTTTTAAGAAGGACATCAACCTAGGAATAGTAACCTCTGGTTCAGCAACGAACAACAAAACATTGTTTCCGTACTAACAAATATTTTGTTGGGCTCGGCTGAGAGGGCATCCCGGGCGGCAGCCTCTTTCCAAGTTAATACTCTGAGTGTGATGCACATTGATCCTTATTCTAGCCTTTGGTGATGAATACAACATTATAATGCATCTAATAAAATCATCCTTAAAACCAAATCTTCTCAATGCCAAATACAGGTACTCCCAGCGAACTGAGTCAAATGCCTTCTCGAAATCTAAACTTATTACTTCTTTTCTTTGGTGAGATGATCAATTACTTGCAGCACCCGCCTAATATTATCTTGTGTCTGTCACGTACAAATCCTGTCTGGTCTGAATCCACAAATTCTGGTATTATATCTTCCAATCTTTTAGCTAATATTGATGCATATAATTTATAATCAACATTTGCACTACACTCCTTTTTGTCTTTACCCTCTTAGATTTATGTGTTTTCATCTGTCTGAATAGCTCTTATTGCTCTCTCTCTCTCTCTTTAGTTTAATTTCGCAGATGAAGCAGTGCATCAGGCCATTCACACAATAGAATACTGCTTAGGCTGCATCTCAAACACCGCCTCTTATCTACGACTTTGGGCGTTGAGTCTGGCCCATGCTCGTAAGTAATGCACACACCAACCATGCACATTTATTGTATTGAATACAAACTGAAACCGTGTCATATCTGGGCCTGAGAAATAAATGGAAATTTCTGCAGTGAATATAAGATTTTTTTGGTTTTTGCTCAGCTCTACTTTATAAACTTAGAGTTGTAGGCAAAGACTTTGGTAATGTAAGCCCCTGTCAAAGAAGTAAACTCCTTCCTACAGTACAATTGTGAATTCATTTATAAAATCCCATTCCAACAAGTAATTTATGGGAACCCTCTACACATTTACTTGCATGCTTTTCCGCTCAATATGCAATGTGGAGAAATAAAGTAATTGTTTACAATGTTTTCCTTAAAATGTGTTTATTTTTTCTTACAGAGCTCTCTGAGGTCTTGTGGTCAATGGTGATGCACATGGGCCTTGCTTCTAGGAGTTTTGGTGGATTCATTCCCCTGTCAATCATCTTTGCCTTCTTTGCTACACTGACAGTGTTTATTCTGTTGATCATGGAAGGCCTGTCTGCCTTCCTTCATGCTCTTAGATTGCACTGGTAAGTGTGTACACACACACACACACACACACACACACACACACACACTATACTTGCCTTTAATAAAACTGTTAAACTGTTTTAATAGCAGATGGCTCTTTGTTGCCCCCTATCAATGGCTACTTGCACACTGCAGAAAAAATACCATTGAATTGATTATTTTGAGTGCTTAGTCTTATTCTGTACACACAGTTTAATTATTTGCACGTGCGAGAACTGCATTCTACAACCAAATTCACTCCCTAAAAAGGAGGGAATCCATGTTTTAAAACCGAACTGAATAAGTAATTGTAGCTCAATTGAAATATGGTGCTAGAAAATAAACACATTTTTTCATTTAATTTCATCCAGGACTGTAATTCACTGACATTGTTTCCCACTTTATTTCTGTAGGGTGGAGTTTCAGAATAAATTCTACACTGGGCAAGGCTTCAAGTTCATGCCTTTCACTTTTGACAGCATTCTGGAGGGCAAGTTTGAAGACTAAACCACACCCACATTCTCTCCTTCTTCCACACCTCTAAACAACAGGAGCCAGTCAGATTATGTGTGAGATTTTATGATTTGTGTGAACACTGTGACTTTGTAAGGCTCTATATTTCTCAGGTGTTCTACATCAGGACATAGAATAAATTTCAAGAAAGTAAGCTTGAAGTATTTAGTAGAAGCTGAATATAATCTGAGCTAGAACTACATAACATTTTCGCAATTATTTCATTACTCTTAAACACTTGATTATGTAATAATACAAACTCAAGTGCTGTTACCGTTTAGCACACAGCAGAATGAACAGCTTGTTTTCTTTGTCGTAGAAGCCTCATAAATGTGTACATGCTCTTCGTAATCAAGGCACAATATCATTAAAGTTTCCCTACCTTTATAGTACAGGTTCTAAAATTTGATACATTTCTGATTTTTTTTCCCCAGTCTGTTAAATTATTAGTTGTTTTTTTTAATGTATCTTTTATCCTTTGTTAAACACATTTCTAAGACAGTTCTCATACAAAGGGATCTCATTTCAAATGCAGAAAAGCAATGTCATTGTTTGTCATTTTTACAATCTTCTGTCATGCAGAGAGGAGGATTTCCTCACAAAGCATATCAGAATAATAGTTGCAAATAATCCCCCAGAATAGCCAGATTTATTGCAGATCTTTTCTCTCCTTTGTAAACACAAGTAAAGAGTAGTTAAATTTTATTTGGTCTTGAACTGTATTGCTGTTTTTTTTTTGTGTGTTTTGCTGTTGTTTTTGGACAATTAAAGGCAAAAACACATCTAAGCTATGTTTGTTGCAGTGCCCAGTTCCAGGGTTTTTTGATTGTTGTTCATAATTGAGTTTACAACATGCACATGCAATGGCTCTTGAAGAAAACGTGTTTGCTTGCTAGATGTCAGAGGCAGTCCATTTAGTCTATAGTCAGAAATTAACTATACCAAGTAAGAGCAGCCAGTGAAGCGGTGATTGTCAGTTTTTTTGTCAATAAAGAAGGACTGGATATGAACTTGAGGTTTTCTTTTTCTTTTTTGTATGCATGGTGTGAGAAAAGATCTGTTGATAAATCATATCTAAATATATAATACAATTAATATAATAATCATTATTGATAATATATAACATGATTTATTTCTTAAGTGTCAGCTGCAGTTTCATGCCAGCCAAGCTGCTATTTGGAAAAAACAACACCGATACTCTGATTGTGAAATTGCTTAATTACATTTCAGACAAATTTTGACCAGTTTTGTTTTGTCTGTTTTTTTTTTCTCTGCAAACAAATATACTTACACATAAAGCTTGGTACTGTAGCTTTTGTTAAAGTGGAGTAACAGTAGTTTCCCCTCTCCCCTCTTAAATCATTCTGTAATCGCTCCTACTTGCTACAATGTAAAATCCGCAAACTTCGAACATTCAAAAAAAAAAAAAAAAATCAAAAATCAGATATCCTCTCTTCTAATCCACAGTGCTTGCATACTCCGGTCTGGAACTTTGCAAATGTGAGCAGAGCGATAAAAACAATCACGTCCAGTGCTGTTGGACTAAATATCAACACTCTTGAAACCCTAAGTTTAAAACATAATTGTGCTATGATTACAAGTGTGTCCTATCTACCTTATTTATTGTAATTCTTATGGTGATTCCAATAACACGCATCTATGATCGTAATTTTCAGGATCAGGTTTACGCTATAATGACTCATAAATCGTTTTGGGCTGTTTGTCTCATACCCTTGCATCAATGAGTGGGTGAGTATGTGTGTCCCTTGCCAGCCTCTATTGGGAGGGTGGAGACTCCCCTTAAAGGGTCAGTGTGGGTGTGACCTTACAGTAAGTGATCTTGGTAGGGGGCTGGACTGAAGAGGGAAAGGGAAGACCTGACGAGTGGGATTCACTGGGAGCTGTGGTCACACACTCTTCCTTACACACCTTGGAGAAGAGAGTCTGTTTCCACCGACTGGCTGACGTCCCAAAGTAGACTTGAGGGAAAGAGGAAGGGAGGAAAAGTTTGAGGCAGTCTAGCAAACCTAGAGAGTAGTATGTAGTGGAAGTAGGTAGTACAGGTGTAAGATTGGTTCAAAGTAGTCAAGAAACGTTTTGAAGAGTTGCCGAAGGTTGTCCGCTGTGTCCATTGGGTGTCTGCTGTCATTCAAGTCTTTTTTTAGTGCTTTATTTTTACCCTGGGACTGCAATCTTTCACACCGGGCAAAGTGTGAGTGTGCTTCTGCTTTCTGTCTGCTAGTAAGCTTGTGTGCGTATTCATCAGTGTATACTTGAAACCGAGCCATGGCCGACACAGACTTCAAACTGGAGCGCGCCGTCTTCGCCGAAATCTCGGATGATGATGATGATGATGAGGAGGTCGCCTTGGTGCCGTCTTCCACCAAACCTGCCATCACAACCAACGTGTTCAAATCAAAACGAGGCGATGATGATGATGACGATGGTGACCCAGCCAAGGAGGTGGACCTGGTGTTGGGGCCGGGACTCGATGGAGGTGGCGCTGGAGAGTCCGAGAAGTCTGAGGCCCAGGCTACTGGCATGTTGGTCCTGGCACTCCTAGACAAAATCATAGGTGTGGTGGACCAGATCCAGCACACTCAGACAGGTCTCGAGGCCAAGCAGGAGACCATGGAGAAGAACATGAGCAGCATTCAGACGGAGCTGGCCAAGCTGGCGAAGAGTCACGTTGGAACGGCCGGGACGGTCAACAAGCTCCTGGACAAGGTGCGAAAGGTGAACATCAACGTGAAGAGCGTGCGAACGGACCTGGAGAAGCAAGTGGGACAGATCAAAAAACTAGAGAACAATGAAAATGAGCTCCTCAAGAGGAAGAACTTCAAAGTGCTCATCTTCCAGGTGAGTAAGGAGTGCATGACAGAGTGTATGATTTCAGACATGACATTCCATCTCCTTTCATTTGTCTTAACTAATGGGTACTAATTAGTTTTTTTTAGCATATACTTGCTTTCAAAGTGACTTAAAAGAACTCTTGAGCAACCTAGAATTATGCATGGATCCCTTCTTGCAGGGTTTGAACTTAAAGCATTTTTGTTACCATTCCCAACTCTTACCAATGGGGTACCTTTTTATTGTGGAACTGGAACTAATAGGCTATATGTATGCATAAGTTCCGCATTTGACGCAAGGATGCTCCTCAGATTCCGGTTGGGGAGATGGGTATAGCCATAGAGTATAAAAACCAATATAAATTTTCGGTATAGCATTGGACTGATTGGCGGAAGTAATCCAGCATCCTTAGACCTTCACCGGAAATACCGCCGTGCGTAGAGTCAATTCTGGTTACAGAAGCTTGAGTCCAGCTGATCTGTGGTCTTTTCCTCACTGTTCTAGTCTAGGTTTTTTTGGACAGCTGTAGAAACTGCAATTTCTGACTGATTTTGTTAGAAAGTGATTTATTGCACATTGTTTGTCATAGTAAAAATGGCAGTGCCTTAGACCACCATAAGTTCCATAATCTATATCTTGACAGGAGTTAGCTTTTTATAACACAATTACGCTTCAGTCGTTTCACGTATTTTAAGCATGTTCATGTTGTTTTGCTCGGGTCTATATTTGCAATCCTCTTTCCCAGATTCCTTTGCAAGGCTTGGTCTTGAATTCGCCACTCAGTATTATAAAGTGTCAGTTCACTCCTAAGTGAACCTTTAAAGGTTCCTGTCTCACCTCACAGCAACCTCTGAAACTGGGTCAGCACATTCCACAAGTATACTGCAACTATACTACATGAATGTCAAAATTAGCTGAAGTTTGTAGAAATGTATAATACAACTTAAAAGAGCGCACACACCACACGGCAGAGAGATGTAGTGTTAAAGCATGGTTCAGACAAAATCATGTGTAAGATAATGTGGGGTTTTACCTCAGTAAAATATATCTATGCTCACTAAGGCTGCATTTATTTGATCATACAGTAAAATCACTATAGCTGAATTTTCAGCATCATTAGTCTTCAGTGTCACATGATCCTTCACAAATCATTCTAATATGCTGATTTGATGTTCAAGAAACATTTCTTTATTTGACACATAATTTATAGGTTTTTAATGTTACTTTTGATTAATTTAATGCATTCTTGCTGAAAAAAAAATTAATTTCTTCTTCAGTTAAAGTTGTGAACAGTCTATTAGAATGAAGATGTTTAAAATATGATTATATATTATTCACAAATATGATGCTTATAATAGACTGCAATGCTATCCAGATGATGCACTTTACTCTTTCACAGTATTCTTAATGGGAAAATAGAAAAGGTAATTGTACACTGCCTGCACAAAGAGAAGGCCTATAAGTTTTCTTTAATGTCTCTCTCTCTCTCTGGTGTGTGAGATAGTTGGCTGTCGCAGATAGGCTAGTTGGCAGGTGTTTGAGGGTTTAGAATGAAGACATTATAATTTATATTTAGGCTATATCTTTTGCTTAACTGCTGTTTAACCGCCCTCAGAATTAAAATGCTGCTGTAATTTAAGATACATTTGCTGATTTCTGCAGATTTGAGTATTATCATACACCCCAGTCTGATATCTTTCAATTCAATATGGTTTACACTCACACTATTTATTATAACTGAACTCACTGTACTTCAATAGAATATGAAAGAGTTTTTTTACATCTCTATGTTTAGTTTACTCGCGAGGGTTAAGAGCGAGTGTCATTTATTTGAATCGTCTTAGAAACTGATTCACCAAAGGAATTATGCAAATCAGGTAACTGCTCAATTTGTGTAATACTAATATATTATACAAGTACATGTTTTGAATTGTAAATAACTCAAATATTATGGATGTTTTACTAGAAAATAGTATTTCAATTTGTCTCAATCAATGTGTTACTTGCCGTTTCTTTGTACTAGCAATTTCCGAGTCAAATTGTTTCCAAGTAAATCCTGCCATTTTTTTTGTTTTTTTAGCATTAAGGCTTTTATAAGTTTCATTTACATAGACATGAGGTGTATTTGAGCTGAAAAGAATGACCATAATTTAAATGGCTTATCCTGGCACTTCTACATTTAGTGTTTGGTTAATCTAAATTGTGGAACTAGGCTCTTTTAGCGTGAATAAGTGAATACGGTTATCAAATGTTTATGTGCTGAAATATTGGTTTGGCTTTATTTTGATGGTCTCTTTAACACATTCTATTGATTATAAGTAACGTTGCACCTACATGTCTCTGTAGAGTATACTTCATCATTAGAGTATTATTAGAGTATAAGTACTGTATACTGGTAGGGTTAGAAGAATAAGTTGAGGCATTTAAAAAGTTACTTCTACTCAACAGAAAGTGTTCCCTTACTATTTTCGGTGAAAGCTCCGAAAATAGCAGCAGAGACTTCATATGTAAAAAGATTCTATCTTTAGTGTTTTACTGAAGTGCCAGATCAGTGTGTGTTAAAGCATTTCACTGCGAAGAGAGTCTGTGTATTAAGTGTGTTCAGAGCGTGCTGGATTGCAGTTTGGACAGAGACTCCCTCTGAGACCCTCATCCTCCTTAACTTTCCCTTATTCTAATTATAGATGAGAATTTGGTAATGTCTGCAAGGATAATGACACTACTGTACCGTCAGAGAACCTTTCAGTTTTAGAAGTAGGCCTACCGCCGGACATTTACGAGCTTTGTCAGAGATTCAATAAGTCATTTGCTAATAGGCCTATACCATAAATATATTTCAAATAAAATACATTTTAAGGGGCTGTATGTAGGAATGTAATTCAAATAATCATAAAATGGCCCTGATATGTCACTAGACATTAAGAAATCATGTTCATTTCAAATATATATCACTGACAACAGTAGTCCAGCCAGGATATTGTCATTTAAAGAGTGAAGTTGCAGCCCTCAACTTATGTTGATGTTGTCATGTTGTGTTTTGGTCTGATGCTCCACCCTCCACCGATCTACCAATCAGTGTTGCGGCATCCAGGTTGCTCTCCTCTAGTTACCACAGCTGCAGATACAAACGTGTCGGATAAAAAACTGTTGGATCCTGCAGCCTATCTGGCAACCCCGAGTCAGGGGGAGGGGGAGGGAATACACCACTCTACAGTCATTTGTAAGTGATTGCAGTACCAGTTTTGGCCACAATCTTACATACGGCTCCTTTAATATTAATCACATTTTACAGTACTAAATACAATCAATTAGCATGATATCAGTCATAACTGGTATCCTCATAGCAGTGTGATTGACAGTGCGGTGGATGGTATTAAGTATTTCTCCGCTATATTTGACTCTTTTAAATCCACAGACGCCATTATGTGCCAGTAAATGTGTTTGTTATGGCTTTCAGTCAGTGACCTGACATCATTGACATCATAGTTAGGATGAGGTTCGGCGTGTTCCAGCACATGACTCTTCACCAGCGTTACTGCATTTAGCCTCACTAACGAGTCGTTTCCTCCCAGCGCTGATCTGAGAGGCTGGATGGGGGGGGGGGGGGGGGGGAACACTGGTGATGTAACTGCTCTCTCTAATGGTTTTATCTGAAAGATGGAAGATTACAGGAGTCAGTGAGGTCATTTATTGGTATTTGTAAAGTGTTCTGTTGGCTTGTGCACCTATTTCCCATCACTAATGAGGATCATTATGGTCTTTTGGGGATAATCAGAGAAGATCTACCTAATGGATCACATGCAAAGAACCAAACTCAGAAATGCACATTAGCTGAATGCATATTTTATTCATATTTTTATTGTAAAATGTAAAATGTCAAATATTATAATTGCATCCATGCATAAATAGAATGCATATTTGCATAAAAATTGTATTATCTGTATAACAATTGACATTGAATTTGTAAATATAAATATACAAATATAATTAATATATAATATAAATATATAATATAATATAAATATACAAATATAATTTAGTATGCCCTCAAATTACATGAACTCCACGAGTTTAAAATCTGATGATCATGAAATGAAAATTATCCAAAGAGCATCTTGTGTTTTAGGTACATTTATGTATTTAATTGTATTTATTTATGTATATTTACACTTATTTAATATATTAATTTTATACATTTTTGTTATTGCTATTGGTGTTATTATTCTACAAAAATATTATTATTTATTTCTAGGGTAAAAAAAAAATATTTTCACTGTGATGGCCACTGTATATACTACCTTTTAAAAGTTTGAGATCAGTAAGATTTAAAATAATAATAATAATAATATGTTGGATGCTTTAAATGAATCAAATGTGTTTATAATGTTACAAAAGGTTTCAATTTTAAGTAAATGCTGCTCTTTTGAACTTTCTATCCATCAGTGTCATGGAAAAAAAAAATGCATTTTCCACAAAAATAGGAAGCAGCAAGTTGTTTTCAACATTGATATTTTTTAGCATTAATATAAATAATAATAGTTATTATTATTATTATTACTTAAGAGTCTATGACTTGATCATTATTGCTGTGATTATTATGTTTCTAGCATGTTATGTGTTTGGCAACAGTTCTTCTAATCCTAATTGGTGTGTGTACCTTTTCATTTCTTAATTATTCATGGAAGAGACGTCATGGCCATTTTCCAGAATGACGATGTCAAGATTCATCTAAATCCTATTTGCATCCAAACAGCAACTTTTTTTTTTTTTGGTCCAGCTTTTTTTTAAATTGATAAAATATTTCACAGTACAATTTTTACTGTTTTGATCAAGTAAATGCAGCCTTGGTGAGACTTTCAAAAACATAAAAAAAATCTTCCCAAACATTTGAACAGTAGTGTAAGTCTGTGTGTGTGTGTGTATTTAATTGCTCATGAAGTTTCAGTTTCAGTCCTCTCTGATGGAATGTCCACTCAAGCTGCAGGTTACACTACTGGCATTTATCAGAT